TTACACGTAAAGTCAAGAGGGATAACAAAAGTTTAATAATTATACGAAACAAATGCATACGTGGGCGGATACACGCACGTTTACATACATGTAGTAGTGTAAGAGAGTAACATAGTGCAGTAGTCAGCATAATACTAGAGTGCAATAGCAAGCTTCACCATTGCTCATGGCCATGCAAATGTTCAGTAGCACTCAGTTCCACAAGCTTCTGAAGATCAGCACACCTGCAACAAATAGATTGCACAAGGATACGCTTATTACCGTAATGATGCATGGGAGCACACAACTACCAAGTTCTCAACGAATGTGATGCTCAATGAAAATCCATCCACTCAAAGACCTGTGAACAGGTGACGGTGGGGACAATAATCTATTAGTAATACGAGGAATAAGATCGTTTGTGCACACTCAAGACGCACAAACACACCACCATACATGTAGTGTACACAGTGTTTCACTTCACTGCAACGAAATTGATATGATATGATTTGAACAATCTGTACAGCGTTGCCGTCAGTCAGTCCAAGATGGAAATGCAATGATTTGTTGTCACGAGGCAGTTTCACTGACACAATGTCATGTTTGTGACATCGAAACGGTTACTTCATGGAATACGAGTACATGTATTAGCTTGAGAAGCTTTTTCTTGTCATCGGCATACAAGAAATCCTCCTCCTACTACTACTAGTACACTGGCACTGCGTTTGTGGATCCTATTGTATTTGACATCATACTAGAGCCTACAACAGGAAGAGTGTCGTGGAGTTCACATAATTATCACAGGGATAAAAATACATTTCTCATGAAATAAAATAATAATTGATGATAGCTAGACGATCGTATACGATTGATCTTGATGCAAAGTCCTTGCAGTCCTTGAGGACTATTACGAAGTGGTTGATACTTTTAGGGCATTCATTCAAGCAACATCAAACAAAAGCGATACGCTCTTTGAAAATGTAAAAAAATTCAAGCATAACGACAGAACAGCAGACCAATCGAAACGAGTAAAAGCTTCCTTACCTCAGTCATCGTCCTGCCATGTAGTTGGACAGCCTTTTGACACGGTGGTATAGGCAGCTCTTGTCCAGTCAAACAGGGTATCCTTGTGGCGTCGAACGAAAGAGAGTGTCAGTGTATCTGACTCGTCAGATTTTGGAACTGTGCTGAACTTTTATCGTTCTCCGCTTTCTGCTTTCATCCCTCGCTCTGATGAAACCGTTCAAACGTCTTACTGGCAGCAATGGCCAGCCAAACAGGGGTTCCTTGTGGCGTCGAACGAAAGAGAGTGTCAGTGTACCTGACTCGTCAGATTCGAACTGTGCTGAACTTTTCTCGTTCTGCAATTTCTGCTTTCATCCCGCGCACTGATGAAACGTCTTCAGAGAACCACAAGACGCTTTCCAGATTTGATTTTGAACGTCTCCTTATCCTCCTTGGTTACCTCGAGACAGATTACTGTCAGCAACTGCACAGCAGAACTGGCAGCCATGGCTGAAGTGAAGAAAGGAATGCGCTGCCACGAGGCAAGCAAAACTGAAAAGGTGTTTTTTTTTCGGGCACAACACACAGTATAGTACAGGAGGACGGCGTGACTGGATAAACTGGACTTCTGCTGTGAGTCCTGGACCCTGAATGCTGCGAGTCCTGGACCGTGAATAGGGGACTTGTAGAGAAAGTGTACTCCTTATAGGGGATTGCGCGGCAGGATGAAGCTGATCAAAACTGAGTGGACTCCTGGACTCTGTATAGTGGATTTTGGACCAATGGACTCTATATAGGGTGCTGGACATCATATAGTGCATGGACTCTATACTGAGTCCTACATGTATGTGTTTGTTTGTCACATACAGGTTACAGGTGACTACACTCTCCAACCAGGTCATCGTTGTCATGGTCACTGACGCCAGAGTCGGAACAGTGTCTGATGTTTTCCATTATCAATTAGTAGTCATGCTGGCTAGAAATTGGCCATTGTGGCAATTTGTTGTTTACTCTTTCACTTGGATATTGTCCTGCATGTTTGTACACCAATCTTTCTCTTGTTTACCTCAGTATTACAGAGAACTATGGATTTTGCGTTTATGTTCACTGACACTTTCACTCGTCTTTTTCAAGTCTTTTTTTTATGAATGTATGTGTTTGTGAGTGTATGTATATGTTGAATGTATGTGTGTGTGTGTGTGTGTGTGTGTGTGTGTTTGTTTGTATGTGCATGTGCACTTATTGCCGGCTACAAAATTTGCCTAGCTATTTTTGTAGCACAATGTGCTTGTGTGTAATGCCATTTCACTTGCTCTTCTTCGTCATCAATGATGTCCACGTGTGTGTTTGCCCTGAAGTTCCCGTTCGGCTTGCTTTTAGTACTACAACGTAACAGAACACACTGTCATGATTATCTGCATGTTGCACAGTCGGACTCGTTTTTATCCATCATTTCTGATCACAACGTGGCTTGTGCGTTTCACTGCGGCTTCACTTGCTAGTCTCCATTATTGCCTCATGGAAATATGTATGTGTGCGTGTGTGCATTGCGATGTCACTTGTTTTTTTACTTTTATATTTACATGACACAATTACATGACACAATTACATGTATAATGTTTATGAACTACAGCACTGTAGTGTTGCTTGTTATTTTTCTCATCACTAAAGCACAGAATGTGCTTGTGTGACCCACAGTTTCTCTCTTTTTTACCCATCATTCCAGACCCCAGTGAGCTTTTTGTCATTGTTATTCCCTTGCCAGCCTACATCACTACCGACCTGCAATATGATTGCATGGGTGTGTGTGCAGTGATGTTTTCATTTGTTTTCTGTGACAGTTACACAACATGATGTGTTTGTGTACACTGCTGTTTCGCTTGTATCATTTTTCTTATCACTACAGCACAGAATACGTGCGTGTGTGAACTGATCATTCACTTCATTACTTTTATCCATGATGTGAGATCACACTGTGGTCTTTGTGCAGCTCATCACTGTTTTCATTGCTATTTTCGTTGCTTTTTCACTGCCAGCTGTTTTCGTTGCTTTTTCACTGCCAGCTGTTTTCGTTGCTTTTTCACTGCCAGCTGTTTTCGTTGCTTTTTCACTGCCAGCTGTTTTCGTTACTTTTTCACTGCCAGCTGTTTTCATTGCTGTTTTTGTTGCTTTTCGCCTCTAGTATTCTACATGGTTGGAGTCAGCAATGTATTTTCATGCTCTTCTGTTTTCTGACTTTGTTTTTCTGTATCAGTAAGGAACACCGTTTGTGGGAACTGCACTTTACTTTGCATGCCTTCCTTTTTAATTACAGCACAGAATGTGTGTGTGTGTGTGTGTCTGCACTGATCTTGCACTTGTTTTCCTTATCATTGCACTTAACATGATGCGTTTACACTTTACCATGGTCTACACCATGTACCACTGCTGCAATTGCCTTGCCGGATCATTACGTCATTACTTCATTACGTCATTACGGTACACAACTTGTTAGTGTACTGTGCACTGCACTTTTTGAGCCACAAGCGTGTAGTAGGTTGCGTGTTTTGAGGCTCCCGTTTTTCTGTAGTTTTTAGGTAGCTTTTGGGGACTAGCCCCAACAGCCTGGGTGGGATGGCTAGCCCAGATCACACTGAGCAGCTGGTGAGCGCCGAACAGGTCCAGACACAGCTTCGCTCATTGCCTGGCATCGAACACAATGTTGTAGAAGTGCTGAGAACTCTAGCTCGTCTTGAAAGCCAACTTCAGGACCAGGAGAAACGATATCAACGAAGGATTAGTGGATTGAGCTCCGAACTTTCCCAGCTGAGAGAGGACCTGGCCGACACTCGCCTGTGCCAAAATTTGGATATCGGCAATGTTACGTGTGCGTCTTGTAAATCAAACTCCTCCGCCATTGCAGACCTAGAGAGAGAGCAAGAAACAACCAGCCAGAGGCAGCGCCGAAATCGAAAGAAACGTAGTACAGGCACAGAAAGTCGTTCACAGTCCGCCGTACCCGTAGAGAGTTCACGACCCATTGATCCCGAGATGGACCTGACTAGCAGTGTCAGATCCGACGTTGACAGCTCAAACAACAAGCCGTCCAACTCCCGTACAGATGGTACACCCGGACCCAGCTCGGAGTTGACCCCGCCACGTGTGGATCGCTTGCCGAAATTTGAAGAGATGAGTGAGGATTCGGACGCCACATGGCGACTCATCACCTCCACCAAACCCACAGCGAAGAAGAGAGTCCTGTTTGTCGGAAATCTGATGCATGCAATTACTGCAGATCAGCTGAAGGAGTTCATCGCAGCAAGAGCAGCTGAGGCTGACCACAATGTCCAAGTGTTTGACGTAAAAATATTTCAAAAAGAAAAATCCTCCACTGCGCGTATTGTTGCCAGTGCAGCGGACGAATCGTTTCTCAGCAACAAGCGCTTCTGGCCAAGGCCTGTGTACACAAGAGAGTGGAACTTCGATAAGTACACCCAGTCTGATGCCAGTGGAGATCAACAAACAGCGCAGAGCAGCACCACGACCACCAACAGCAGCAGCAGCCGCACGGACGACAGTAAGAGCGGATACGGCGTGGATTGCGATATCCTAGATGACACCTGTGGAGCACCGGCCCGGACTCCAGGCCAGAAATCACGGGGCTATCAGCGTGACTCGCCGCCCGAGACGCAAGCTGCAAAGTTTAGTGTCACTGTTGGCAACGCATTTGCATCTCTAAGTCAGGATGTGGATAATATATCTGTGCAATGACTGGAAAAAGATTAGGCAACGACCCTGCTGCTCATGAACTGAATATGCAAACGCAAACTCCAACAATTCGAATTTTACTGCTGAACATTAGGAGCCTGAGGAACAAAGTTGGAGAGCTGGCATGGCTTGCCGACCTTCACAGTCCTGACATCATCTGTGTAAACGAGACCTGGCTAGACGACACCGTGTCTGATGGAGAGATAGCTTTGGATGGCTTCAACATACTGCGCTCAGACAGAAAAGATCAGGCCGGTGGAGGAGTCTGCCTGTACTCCAAGGCATCCCTCCTGGTCAAGCCGAGGATGGACCTCACAGAATCGGCAATTGAGAGCTGCTGGGGAGAAATCCTTTGCCAATCTGGAACTTGTTTGATAGGAACCATTTATCGACCTCCATCTGAGCCAGTTCGATACTGGGACTGCCTGGACGACCATCTCCATTCAGCTATAATGCCCGGGAAGAACGTGATTATTTGTGGCGACATCAACATAAACACCAATCCAACAGCACCTCCAGATCCACAGCTTCATTATCTATCTGACCTTGTGGCCAGCTACAGTTTATATCCCGGAGTTCACCAGCCGACTCGGTTCTCAGCAAACTCTGCACCAACCACACTGGATCAATTTTACAATACATTCGACCCTCTAAATATGGCTACTGTTATCCCCATCGCGTTCAGTGACCATGCAGCAGTTCTCAGTGAATTTCAACTCAGCCCAGTAAGAAGTACTGTAACTTCAGGGCTACGGCGACACTACCGAAACATAAATCATGACCAGTTCAAGGCAGATTTGGTCCAACAGGATTTTTGTGAAATTGACGGAAGCCCAACTGTCATGTGGACTGAGTGGGCCAGCCGCTTTCTACAAGTGTTAGACAGACATGCTCCTCTTGCACCAAGCCCTCGACGCAAGAAAAAATCAGTACCATGGATGAACCGCCAGTTATTACACCTCTTGACCAAGCGCAACCGGCTCCATAGGAGGTGGCTTAGTGATGGAACAGAACATTCCCACTCAGCTTTCAAGGCTGCGAGGCGGGAAGCTACCAGCTATAATAGGCAACAGAAAGAGACCTACTACCAATCCAAGTTTCGAGCTGCGTCTGGCAATACCAAACAGACATGGCACACGATCAAAGAATTGAGTGGTAAACATCGACAATCTCAGCCACCTCAATGTTCTGTTGATGCCATCCGAAACACCTTTGCAGAGATAGTAGAGGACGCCAGCCGCCCAGTGCATCTCTCATTTCCCTACGGGCCCGCCTCAAGCACTGATCTGACAGCCTTTGCGCCAGTGTCTATTGCCAGAGTGAGGAAGCTCCTCGAACGTTTAAATCCGGCCAAGTCCAGCGGTGACGATGACATTTCTGCAGCCCTTCTCCGCGCACATGCAGACGTACTGGCGCCATCCCTGACTTTGATTTTTAACAAGTCCCTGAGAGAGGGCATATTTCCTGCCCAGATGAAAAGTGCTAGGATATCGCCACTCTTCAAAGGCGGAGATCCGAGCATGCCAAAGAATCATCGACCAGTGTCATTGTTATCGATTGCATCCAAAGTGTTGGAAAGGATAGTCCACGAGCAACTCACACGATATCTAGTCCAGAGCAATTTATTCCCGCCAACTCAATTCGGCTACAGATCCCACCACTCTACATCCGACGCACTAGTGCTAGCTGTGGAAGGTATCTGTGAGGCCCGTATGAACAAACTCAACACAGGTGTAGCCTTTGTTGATATGTCAAAGGCATTCGATAAAGTGAAACATCAAACTCTTGTGCAAGATCTGTTCGAACTTGGCATCTGCGACATGGCACTCTGTTGGCTGGTGGATTACCTCTCTGATAGAGAACAGTACGTTCAGGTTGGCCAGACTAGAAGTCTCCCGTACACCAGTTACTCAGGTGTCCCCCAGGGGTCGGTACTGGGCCCACTGCTATTTATTGTCTATGCCCGCGGCATAGCAGAAGAACTATCGCCGTTTAATGTGGGAGCAATCCAGTTTGCTGATGACATCTCTATACGATGTAGCAGGGAGTCTGCGGAAGCTGTTTCTGCACACCTTTCAGCTGCTGTTCAGCACCTGGCCACCTGGCTGAAGGGCCGTGGTTTAATTCTTAATGAAAGAAAGACACAGATATTGCCTATTCCCCCATCCCCATCTCAAGCACTTGAGCTGCATGTCATTTGTAATGGGCAGACGCTGCCTGTTGTGAAAACGGCCAAGTATCTTGGCCTACATTTCGACTCAGACATGAGCTGGAACACCATGACAAGCCATGTTGCACGCCGCGTTGCCGCTAAGATTGGGCTACTAAATCGAAGTGCAGCATGTTTGCCTTTTTCTTGCCGTGTTCAGTTTTTCAGGTCCTTTATACTATCAGAATTTGACTATGCATCTGCTGCCTATGCCCCTTTCTTATCGTCTTATCAGGATAAGCGCCTAAATAGTTTGTTCAAACGTGCGGCTCGCTCGGTGTGCAGGGCAGCCCCTCGCACTCACACGGCTCCCTTACTTGAACGCATGAATGCCCATACCCTCAGCATATACACCCACATGCACATTCTTGTATTCATTTGGCGCTGCCTGAACAAATCTTCAAGTACTCTGTTTGCAAGCTTTTTCACCCGTAGTCCCTCTCTCCGAACACGAGGAGGGAGCAGCAAGTTACTCATCATTCCTGTCTCCCCCACTGCATCCTCAGCTAAGCGCATTAGCCATGCTGGAGCTATCCTGTGGAACCAGCTCCCAGACACAGCACGCCTCCAAAGAAAGCGCTCCACTTTCAAATCGCTAAGCCTGGCCTTTCTGTTAGGCAGTACCGTCAACTAGGATGAACTCATCTGCTTCACTACCTCTCTCTCTCTCCCTCTCTCTCTCTCTCTCTCTCTCTCTCTCTCTCTCTCTCTCTCTCTCTCTCTCCCCTCTCTCTCACTCACTCACTCCTTTCTTCCCGGTTGCCGTGCTTGTGACTTTTTTTCCCCTGCTGCCGTGCTCATATTAGTTATCTAACTACAGCTGTATCTTCTTCTTGGTTCTGTTTGTCCGCTTATTATTATATATTTTTCTTTTCTCTTATTATCAGTGGGACCATTGTCATTAGGTTTATGCCTGTTTTGGAACTCCACTTTAAATAAAGCCAAACAACAACAACAACTTTCGCTATTTTCATCATCATTATTCGGAAGTCTTGTTTTTGTTATCCATACGGAGACCCGACCTTCACAGTGTGCCTGTGTGCTGTCTGCTGCTCAATGTGTTGTGCTGGATGCAATGTATGAGTGCGGTGAAGCATGTTACTGAGCTGTTTCACCTGTGTGTGTACTAATGGTGACTATAGTTCAGCTAATCCTTATGTAAATCCCCTTTTCCATCGCTCTCAAATACAGCAGAGATATGCTGAAGGCTGACATTTGATAATGACAAAATTGGTCAGTGGAGAAACGACGTGGGGACAGAGAGATGGCTGACTATGTACTTCATGATAACAGGAATCAGAAATAGAGCATAATTTTCTAAAGATGACTGCATGTGTGAGAGAGTAGTTATCTACGCAGTTCCTGTTGTCCTGGTAACTAATCTCAGGTAACAAGGACTTATCCTTAAGGCCGTACTAACTATAATGATGATTGTATTACATGTGTACTTAGGTGTTCCACTGCACCATGCATTTTACACACTACACAGTACAGTACATGTGTACTTAGGTGTTGCACTGCATCATGCATTTTACACACTACACACTACAGT